AGAATGATTAACATGTAATTGATTGAATGGTCAACATGTAAGCCAGTGAAACGAAAGTCCAACAATCAAGGATAACAAATAATCAAATCATATAATTACACGTGGATGTCACATATATTTTAGGTCTAAATAACTTTGAAGTGTAGCATGAAAAAAACATACACGACAAAAATGGGATCAGAAAAAAGATGATGTTGGGTAATCATTATTGAGGCAGAAATGAAAATTCAACACATGAATAGAAGTTGATTGCATCGGGAAACATGTTTATGTTATGGAAAGAAATTGTATTAGTTGATGAAAATTGATCGTCTAATTAGATAGACCAAATGATATGTATAAAAATTAAAAGCTAGAAAAAACATAGGCACGAGTACAATAAAGAAAGGTAAGTATCACGTAACATTCTTATATTTCAATATTATTATGAAAAATGTTTTTACATTTTATTTTTTTGGTAATTTCATTTTTATTTTCACTTTTCATTATACAAAAAGTCCATTTCATCCATTTTTTCAATTAGAAGTTGTGAAATGATGAATATATTTTTATATTTAAATAAAACAAAAACAAGAAGAAAGAGCTAATTGCAATCATAGTCCATTTTCTAAAAAAAAGTACAAACGAGTCCAAATAAATTATTAAAAAGGTAATGAGTACATATTGTCCCTACCTATTATTGTGAAAAACATTAATACATTTCATTTTTTGACATTTTCAACCTTGATTATATATTTTCATTCAAATTTTCAATAAAAAGTTTTGAAATGACAAATATACTCTTCTATTTTAATAAAAAAATAAAAAAGTGATTTTCTTTAATTTATAACTTTATAATAATTTATTTAGGATTTTTTTGCACTTTAAAAAAAATTATTTTTAATTTTTTAATAATTTATCTGGGACTGGTTTACACTTATTAAAAAAATTTAGGACTAGGATTGCAATTAGTTCTTTATTTTTTAAATTTAAATAAGATATTATATTAATCATTTCATAACTTTTTATTGTGAAATTGGATGAAAATGAATAGAAACGATGGTTTGCCCAATCAAAGGTGTAGGGTGAAAAAAAAATATTAATTAATTAAATGTATGATTGTGAAATTCACTTTATTAACTTTATCATTTAATATTACATTGTATAGGAATCATTCTCAATGTAAATAAATGGCATTTATTAGTTGCTAGTATTACATTAGCCACAATGCATTATAGGTAAGATGCAACAAAAAATAAAAATGAAAAATTGATTAAAGTAGAAGAATTCACTCAAGTAATTATCTTCTCCGTAATAAGAAATAATAATCCAAATGGTCACTGAACTCTGCAATTTTTTTTTACAAGTTATTGAACTTTAAAAATCATTAAAGTCATCACTGAACTTTGCAAAAGATTTTTACGGGGTCACTGAACTTTAAAAATCATTTTATACATTATTAAACTTTGCAACTGTGTAAACCTTTTGTAAATTTCAATGATGATTTGGATGATTTTTAAAGATCAATAATCCAATGGAAAATTTTTGCAATGTTCAGTGACCATTTGGGTTATTAACCCTGCATTACGAAATAATAGTGACAATTCCACATTTCTTTTGTTGATCGCTTACTTTATTTGACAACTCTTGAAAATATCATGCTTTTATGAAATAAAAACATTTATATGAATATATTTGATACATTGCATAGAACAAGATTTTACATGACTATAGATGTAATGTATGACAACCTATGTCAATTATTTTGTTCCTTTAGGATTCAATACCAATTAAGAATGGATTCTTATTTTAGGTAGCTTTCAAATATTGTCTCGTGTGGACGGTCCATTTCCGAAAATAGCAAGAAATGAGAAGTGAACTACGTCAATATTGTTTAATTTCAATGTACCAATAGTGTTTGAATTCTTATTTTAGGGAATCATTCCAGTGTGAATGGCCCTTCTTTCCGAGAAAAAGGAAGAAGCGAAAGCACCATTAAAATTTGTTTTGATTAAACGTAGAAGCAAGCAACTGTAAAGTTGTGAAAGAGTAAAGCATCTAAGTTGTTTGCTGCAACTCAAAATATTGATGGTAATGCTGAGGGATCAGAATTTTGCTTTACAAAAAAGGGCCATTAAATAATTAAAATTATGGGAAAATGTTGTACTTAGCGTAGGAATGTTGGGTTTTGTGTCTCTTTTGAAGAAAGGTTTC